CAGGTGCTCACCACCTGTAACTGTAAAAGGTCAGTTTTTTTTGTTTTGTTTTGTTTTGTTTTTTTTTTTTTAGACGGAGTTTCACTCATGTTACCCAGGCTGGAGTGCAATGGCACGATCTCGGCTCACCGCAACCTCCGCCCCCTGGGTTCAGGCAATTCTCCTGCCTCAGCCTCCTGAGTAGCTGGGATTACAGGCACGCACCACCATGCCCAGCTAATTTTTTGTATTTTTAGTAGAGACGGGGTTTCACCATGTTGACCAGGATGGTCTCGATCTCTTGACCTCGTGATCCACCCGCCTCGGCCTCCCAAAGTGCTGGGATTACAGGCTTGAGCCACCGCGCCCGGCCAAAAGGTCAGTTTTAATGAGTTTAATCAACCATACCTGGTTGGTTTTTGTATTTGTAAAACCAATTTTTAAGTGACTAATTTTACATTTATGTGCTCAGATAAGGCCATGTCTATAAGGCACATACATATATGTGGAGCTTGATATCAGTGAACCATTAGAAAATCATTTTCCCCCTTAACATTTCATAACAAGATGATTTCATTCTCAATGGGAAGGGAAGATTGGGTAGGAGATCAGGAATGCTAAGGTTTCAATACAGCCCAGTAATTTTTGGGGGAATGGAGGCTGGTAAGTTTTGAAATTATTTTACCTTGTAAATGCGAACTAGTTGAAGCTCAGTCATTGTGTGTATTTTTTGGAATGATACAAATACTGGGTATGAAACAAGTAGACTGTAATAAGTTAGCGTTTTTTTTTTTCTGGGTGTGTGCATGCAAGTCTGCTTTCTTTTCTTTTTTTGCCTGCTGACATGGCTGACAGGGAACAAACATTGAAATTACTGCTTTAATTTGGCCAAAATGAGCTTGTTCGCTGTGAATATCATGCTGGCCTTAATCAGTCCAAAGGACTTCCTTCCTGCTTTCAGGGAGACTGCATATTAACATAGCCTCCTTTCTGTCTTCAAATCAGGCCCTGATAACAGCTGGAAATAGGCACAGCATTAAAGAGGAAATAAGGAAGGGCCCATTATCGACAATATGTGGAAGAGATTTTTAGTAAGTTTCATTTTGATGTTAGAATGACACAAAGATGGCTATGAAAGCCTGTAGGCATTTTTTCAGTAGTACTCTGCATTTATGATCTCAATTTAGGTGAGTTCTCTTCTAGAAGGTTTGAAGAGCATATACCTGTTCACTGAGATAGCACTTGTTTTTTGAAAGACTGTGGTTTTTAGTTCTTTTGGCTCCTCTGAAACTCATTTGACATCTCTGAGAGTTTCCTCGTCTCTAAAATAGGGATGATCTCAACATTCCCTTGCTTAATAGCATAGGAAAAAGATAGCATCTCTTAGTACAAAATCTCTTAGCTCACAAATTTTTTGAAGATATATGTACATTTGTAATATACATTTATTCTCCAGGTGCAGTGGCAGGCACCCCAGCTACTCAGGAGGCTGAGGCAGGAGGATAGCTTGAGCCCAGGAGTTCAGCCTAGGCAATGTAGTAAGACCTTGTCTCTACCAAAAAACCCCCAAAAAAACAAACAAAAAATATTCTGTTTTGTTATTACCTTTTTTATTAATATTTATGATATTTCAGGTCCATACATAAGAATCTAACTCTCATTTTTAATTGCTCTGAAATAATCTATGAATGTACCCTAGTTTAATCATTCCTCATTGATGGAACATTAGAGGAAATTATTTTTGTTAACACTGCAGTGAACATCTATACATGCATCTTTTTGTCTTTGACTCCTGGTTTCTTTGGGATAAATTCTAAGAGGTAGAATAACATGGGTTAAGGGAATGTAAACTTTAAATTTTTTCATAGTTTTTTCCATTCTGTTTTAAAAGTCAGTTTTAATGAGGTACTTTATATATAATATTATAATGCACTCGGTTTAGGAAGATGGCTTGATGAGTTTTGATAAGGATATACACCAGTGTAACAACCATCACAACAAGATACTGAATATTTACATCACCCTCAAATATGTTTCCTCTTTACAGTTGATCCTCACTCCCTCCCCTCTTAACCTCCTACCACTGATTCCAGGCAGCCACTAATCTACCTTGTGTTGCTATTAGGTTTCCCTTTTCTAGAATTTTATATGAATGGAATTACACAATATGTAGCCTTTTGTGTGACTTTTTTCGTTCAACATAATATTTTTGAGAGTCATTCATGTTGTGCGTTATAGGGGTTTGCTGCTTTTTGTTGCTGAGCGGTATTTCTTTGCATGAATTTACCACTTTATCCATTCAACCCTGATAGATGTTTGGATGGTTTATAGTCTTTGGCCATTATAAATTTATGCACAAATCTTTGTGTTCAGTATAATACCTCTTGGGTAAATACTTACTAGTGTAATTGTTGGATCATGTGCAGGTGTATGTTTAGTTTTATAGGAAATGGTCAGATCTTTTCCCAAGGTGGTTGTGCCTCTTTTACACTGCCACAAATGATGTATGAGAGTTTAGGTGGCTCCACATTCTTAGCAACACTTAGTGGTGTTTATCTTATTTTAATTTAACCTTCTCTAGTGGGCATCTCATCATGGTTGCTCATTGTGGTTTTTACATACATTTCTCTCACAGCTAATGCTGCGAAGCATCTTTTCATGTGCTCATTGGCCATTTGTATATCTGCCTTTGTGAAGTACCTTTTCAAATATTTTGTTCATTTTTGTTGTTGATGGTATTTTAGCTTTTCTCTTTATGGTGAAATATGCGTAACTTAAAATGTACCATTTTAACCTTTTTTTTAAAAAAGTATTCTGTTGCTCATTTTTAATTTCTTTTGTTTCTTACTATGTGTTGGAAAAAGTCTTACATGTTCTAAATACATGTCCTTTATCAGAAATGTGTCTTGCATTTCTTTTTCTTTTTCTTATTTTTTTTTGAGACAGTCTCGCACTGTTGCTCAGGCTGGAGTGCAGTGGTGCCATCTTTGGCTCACTGCAACCTCTGTCTCCCAGATTCAAGTGATTCTTCTACCTCAGCCTCCTGAGTAGCTGGGATTACAGATGCATGCCACCACGCCCAGCTAATTTTTGTATTTTTAGTAGAGATGGGGTATTGCCATGTTGGCCAGGCTGGTCTCTTAACTTCTGACCTCAGGTGATGGCACCTGCCTCAGCCTCCCAAAGTGCTAGGATTACAGACGTGAGCCACCATGCCTGGCCGTCTTTTCCTTCTTATAGAGACACTAATCCCATCATGAGGGCTCTCCTCTCATGACCTGATTACCACGCAAAGACCCCATCTCCAAATACTGTCCTATGGAGATTAGTTTTGTCATGTGAATTTGAGGGGAGCACAAACATACAGTCCATAACAGTGTCCTATAAATATTATAAAGGTCATACTGGTCGTTAGTTATCTTTATGTCTTCTGTATCCATACTGATTTTCTATCTACTTGTTCTTTTAATTGCTGAGAGAGGAGTGTTGAAATCTCCAGCTGTAACTATGGATTCATCTGTCTCGCTTTTCAGTTCTTTCAGTTTTTTTCACATTTTATTGATAAGATCCTTTTAGAACTATGAAATGTCCTTCTCTATTCCTGTTAATATTCCTTGTTCTGAAGTCTACTTTTTTGAAGTTAATATAACCGTTCTAACTTTCTTTTGATTAGTGTTTACACTATAATTTCTATCCTTTTAACATATTTATATCTTTATATTCAAAATGGGTTTATTTTAGACAGTGTATAGTTGGGTATTGTTTCTTTTTTTTAAATTGCAGCCCGGCATTTCTGCCTTTTAACTGCAGCAGATAGAACATTTACATTTAATGTAATTCTAACTATGGATGGGTTTAAATCTACCATCTTATTCTTTGTTTTTTCTCTTTGTCTCTTCTTTATTATTTTTTTTTTTTTGGTTTTCTTTTTTTTGCTTGTTTCTGTTTGTCTTTGTATCCCATTTTTTTTTTAATTGAGGGTTTTATTTTTTAATTTTTTTAAGACAGAGTCTGGCTCTGTTACCCAAGCTAGAGTGCAGTGGCGCAATCTTAGCTCACTGCAGCCTCCACCTCCTGGGTTCAAGTGATTCTGTGTCTCAGCCTCCTGAGTAGCTGGTACTATAGGTGTATGTCACCACTCCTGGCTAATTTTTGTATTTTTTTTAGTAGAGACAGAGTTTTACTTTATTGGTCAGGCTGGTCTCGAACTCCTGACCTCAGGTGATCCACCCATCTCGGCCTCCCAAAGAGCTGGGATTACAGGCATGAGCCACTGTGCCCAGCTGGATTGAGGGTTTTAATTAATTAATTAGTTCATTTTCTTTTCTTTTTAATTTTTTTGTCAACTGCCCTAAGGAAATTTTTTTTTCTTTTTTTTTTGGAGGGTTTAAAAATTATTTTATCAAAAATATTGGCTTATTAGCTATACTTGTTTTATTTATTTTTAAATAAGTGCTCTAAGGTTTACAATACAATACATTTGACTTATCACAGTTTACCTTCAAGTAATATTACACCACCTTATGTTTAATGCAAGAACCTTACAATATATTATCCATTCCTCCTCCTGGCCTTTGCCTTCTTGTTGTTGTCTGTTTTCCTTCTTTATAAAAACAACATCTTGTAACGTTTCTTTTTTTGTTGTTTTTTTTTGAGACAGAGTCTTGCTCTGTCACCCAGACTGGAATGTAATGGCGCAATCTCAGCTCACTGCACCTTCCGCTCCTAAGTTCAAGAGATCTCCTGCCTCAGCCTCCTGAGTAGGAGGGATTACAGGCACCTGCCACCATGCCCAGCTAATTTTTGTATTTTTAGTAGAGACAGGGTTTCACCATGTTGGCCAGGCTGGTCTCCAACTTCTGACCTCAGGTGATCCACCCACCTCACCCTCCCAAAGCGCTGGGATTACAGGCGTGAGCCATTGTGCCCAGCCTAACATTTCTTACGGTTCAGATCTGCTGGAAATAATTTCTCTCAGCTTTTATTTGTTTGAAAAAAATTTTAATTCACCTTCTTTTTTGAAAGATTTTTATTAGTTACAGAATTCTAAGTAGATAATTTATTCTTTCAACACTGTGAACACATAATTTCACTGTCTTCTGGCATGTACAGTTTCTTTATTTTTTATTAAAAATTTTTTTTTACTGAGACAGAGTCTTACTCAGATACCCAGGTTGGAGTGCAATGGTGCAATCTTGGCTCACCACAACCTCCACCTCCCGGGCTGAAGCAATCCTCCCACCTCAGCCTCCCAAGTAGCTGGTACTATAAGTGTATACCACCATGCCCAGCTAATTTTTGTATTTTTTGTAGAGATGGGGTTTTGCCATGTTGCCGAGGCTGGTGTCAAACTTCTGGGCTCAAGCAATCTACCTCCTTCAGCCTCCTAAAGTGCTGGGATGACACGCCACCACACCTGGCCAGGTATAGTTTCTAATAATAAATTTTTTGTTGCCTGGGGTCAGTGGCTCATGCCTGTAATCCCAGCACTTTGGAAGGCCGAGGCAGGTGGATCACTTGAGGTCAGGAGTTTGAGTCAAGCCTGGCCAACGTGGGGAAACCCCATCTCTACAAAAATTAGCTTGGTGTGGTGGCGGGTGCCTGTAATCTCAGCTACTCCAGAGGCTGAGGCAGGGAGAATTGCTTGAGCCTGGGAGACAGAGGCTGCAGTGAGCTGAGATCACAACACTGCACTCCAGCCTGGGTAACGGAGTGAGGCTCTGTCTCAAAAAAAAAAAAAAAAAAAGAAATTTGTTGTCATTCTTATCTGGCAGACTTTTAAAATTTCTTTTATTGGAAATAATGTGCAAAAATTTGTATAAAGATAGTATAAGGAATATGCCATAAAAAAGTATAAGCTTTAATGGCATAAGATCTAATACCATCCTTTATAATATTTTCCCCCTTCAGTACAAGATCCAGGGTGAGATCAGGCATTGCATTTAGTTTTTTGTCTCTCTTCCTCTCTCTTTTTTTTTAATTTGTAGGGACAGGGTCTTGCTATGTTGACCAGGAGGATCTCAAACTCCTGGCCTCAAGTGATCCTCTGGCTTTAGCCTCCCAAAGTGTTGGAATTATAGATATGAGCCACCATACCCAGCTTAGTTTTTATGTCTCTTCAACCTCTTTTAGCAGGAACATTTTCATACCCTTTCTGAATTTTATATTGTTGACATAACTGAAGAATATAGTCCTCTTTAGCCTTTTTTCCTTGATTTATCCCATATAGTATCTAGCCTTTTTTTTTTAGACAGGATCTCACTTTGTTGCCCAGGCTGGAGTGCAGTGGCACTATCTCAGCTGACTGCAACCTCAACCTCCCAGGCCTAGGCTGTCCTCTCGCCTCAGCCTCCTGAATAGCTGGGACTACAGGCATGCACCACCATGCCCGACTAACTGTATTTTTGGTAGAGATGGGATTTCACTGTGTCGCCCAGGCTAGTCTCGAACTGCTGAGTTCAAGCAATCCACCCACCTTGACCTCCTAAAGTGTGGGATTACAGGTGTGAGCCACCATGCCCGGCCTCGAGAGCATTCGTATTTTTTTTTTTTTTTTTTTGAGACGGAGTTTCGCTCTTGTTACCCAGGCTGGAGTGCAATGGCGCGATCTCGGCTCACCGCAACCTCCGCCTCCTGGGTTCAGGCAATTCTCCTGCCTCAGCCTCCTGAGTCGCTGGGATTACAGGCACGTGCCACCATGCCCAGCTAATTTTTTGTAGTTTTAGTAGAGACGGGGTTTCACCATGTTGACCAGGATGGTCTCGATCTCTTGACCTCGTGATCCACCCGCCTCGGCCTCCCAAAGTGCTGGGATTACAGGCTTGAGCCACCGCGCCCGGCCGAGAGCATTCTTTATTTTGTGTTTTTCTTATGTTTCCTTGTGTTTAGCTTTAAGTTGCACTTTCTCAGTCAGAGTGCTATATAGGTAATGTTGTGTCCTCAGGCTATCACATGTGGGGGCATGTAATCTGCATCTACCTTACATAGATGATGTTATACTTGAATCAGAATGCTACCCAATTTCTCCTAAGTGTAATGACTGTATTTTACTTTTGTCTTGCAACTAATAAGCAATCTGCAGAGAGATACTTAAAGACTGTGCAAATATCCTGTTCCTCATTAACATCTCTCCTTGGGCTCTGCCTCCATTGATGATTCTTGCCTGATCCAGTCTTTAACCATGATCATTGCAAATTGATCATTTTCCAACTCTAAAGCATTCTCTCTGCATTTAGTAGTTAGCTTTCTAAATCCTACTATAAGCAGGAGACCTACCTTCTCCCCTTACTTTGTAATTTATCTAATTTTTATTGGTATGGTTTTATGAATTTTTCTTTTTTCAAGGACTTATAAGATACTGTTATGCTTAATTCTTTTGGTAATTAAAAAAAAATTATCTCAGATTATCCCAGAGTCCTCTCAAACCTTTTCTGGGGATGTGTCTTCCTTGGGCCTGTGCATGTGCCATTTTTTTTTTTTTTTTTATTAAACACAATTTTTAAACACTGGGCCTTATTCTCATCCAGGCTGGAGTGCAGTGGCACATTCATGGCTCACTGTAGCCTTGAACTCCTGGGCTCAAGTGATCCTCCTGCCTCAGCCTCCCGAGTAGCTGGGACTACAAACATGGGCCACCATGCCTAGATCGTAGTGTGTGCTTTTTTTTTTTTTAAGTTCCCCTGTATATGTAGCTGCTTTTAAATGCCTTAATTTCACTGAGTCTTACCCCTGCTTATTCTTGGACCCTTAGGTGGTCTATTATAGTCCTCTGCCAGCAATCCTTTCGTCCCAGTTACTCATGATCTGCACTCTCTCACCCTGCCATGTGCCTGCTACTGCTTTCAGTGGCCTCCAGCTGATATCTACACTATACCACCAGAAACCAGTCCCTCAGGCTGCCCCAGACAAGCCAAAACATTGAAGCTAGTTCTATTTTTGCTTCCATCCTGAGGGAGGAGCTGGAGACTGGGCAGCTTCTTCTCATTGGTGGGACAAGGTGGGACAGATTGAGTGGGGCAAGGATGAATGAAAATGCCACAACATTTTCTACCACTTTGAAGTGTGATCTTTTCATGGTTAGGTGTATGTTTGGTTCCTGCAACTTCCTAACTGGTTTTTAGGGTTTTCCCAATGCTACTTTGGTCCGTATGTTGTTATTTGATATGTCTTTGGGGGAGTGAGGGCCTAGAGCTTCCTAGTCTGCTGTCTTGCTGTTTCACTCCAGTTTTGTATAATTTTCAGCCATTATTTTCTCGAATGTCTTTTCTTTCCTTTTTTCTCTTTTCCTTCTGGAACTCTGATTACATGTGTATCAAAATACTTGAGACTGGGCACGGTGGCTCACACCTGTAATCCCAGCACTTTGGGAGGCCGAGGTGAGTGGATCACTTGAGGTCAGGAGTTTGAGACCAGTCTGCCAACATGGTGAAACCTCATCTCTACTAAAGATACAAAAATTAGCTGGGTGTGGTGGCATATGTCTATAAGCACAGCTACTTGGAAGGCTGAGGCACGAGAATCGCTTGAACCTGGGAGGTGGAGGTTGCAGTGAGCCAAGGTGGTGTCACTTGGGGAACAGCCTGGGGAATAGCGTGAGACCGTCTTAAAAAAAAAAAAAATTGCTTGATATTGGTACATAAGTTACTGAGATTCTGACCAGACTTTTTTCCTGCTTCAGTTTTTCAAAAACAGTTAAATAATCCTTAAGTCTCATATATGGTTCATGAAAAAAAAAAAAAAAGAAATAAAATTAAATATTTATTCAGAATTTTTATTTTTCCTGTTTTATAATGTTAAAAATCAGTTTATCTTCTTTTTAAAAACAAATTTCAGCTTCTATTTTGTTTTTATTTTATTTCTGGAAAGTAGCCATGTATGAAAATAATTCAGTTTCTTTTTATTTTAGCTCATCAGACCCAACTTCCTAAAACTTAATGTAACTTGTCTGTTAGTTCAAATCCTAAAACTGAATGTAACTTGTCCGTTAGTTCAGGCTCAGTAAGTCTTCAGCCCCTTCAGTCCTATCTCTTCTGGGCATCTTTAACTGTTGATATACTAGACCCAAGCAGGCATTTTTGTAAGCTGAGAGGCAAATGAATAGAATAATATTTTCTAACCAGTCTTTTCCCATATCCCATTTCAATGTCCCAAAGTTTAGTTAACAGAACAGGGAAGCTGCCCTAAACTAAACTTGGCACTTTGGAATCAGCTTCTACTTTAAATTCAGGGGGTACATGTGCAGGTTTGTTACATGGGTATATTATGTAATGCTGAGGTTTGGGTATGACTGATCCCATCACCCAGGCTGCTTCAGGTTGTATAGTTTCTGTAGCTGTGTCTTCAAGTTCACTGATTTTTTTTTTTTGAAGTGTCTAATCTGTTATTAATCCCATTAGATGGAATTATCATTTTTCCTTTTTTATTTTTATATATATTTTGAGACGGGGTCTTATTCTGTTGCTTAGGCTGGAGTGCAGTGGCATGATCTCAGCTCACTGTAACCTCCGCCTCCTGGGTTCAAGTGATTCTAGTGCCTCAGCCACCCAAGTAGCTGGGATTATAGGCACGCGCCATCACACCTGGCTGATTTTTGTATTTTTAGTGGAGATAGTGTTTCACCATGTTTGTGAGACTGGTGTCAAACTCCTGGCCTCAGTGATCTGAGTACAGACCTACCAAAGTGCTGGGATTACAGGCGTGATCCACCGTGCCTAGGCAGCTCTTTTATTTTTTATCTCTTGAAGTTCCAATTGGTTCTTTTTGTTTGTTTGTTTGTTTGTTTTTTAAGGTAGCATCTTACTCTGTTGCCCAGGCTGGGGTGCAGTGGCACAACCTTGGTTCACTGTAACATCTGCCCCCTGGGTTCAAGCAGTTCTCATACCTCAGCCTCCTGGGTAGCTAGAATTATAGGTGTGTGCCCAGCTAATTTTGTATTTTTATTCATTCAATTGATAATTGAGTGATATGTAAAATAGCAAATATTTATTGAGCTTCGCATTTTACTAGACAGTGTTCTAAATTCCTCCTATGTTCATTTTGTTTAATCTTCCGTCCCTCCCTATGCGGTAGGTATTTACATCTCATTTTGCTGATGAAGGAATGGAAGCTTAGAGAGAGTAACTTGCCTCAGGTGCCACAGCTAGTGGATGTCACAGTGTTAAGTAGAGCAGTGATTCAAAGTGTAGGATCTAGTATCTGCTCTGATTTATGCAATCCAACAGAACAAATAGTTGACAGTCCTGGGAGTCACTGAGGAAAAGTTATTTGAGTGGGAAAAAAATATCTTGTTGAAATTGAAGACATTTTCATGGTTGCTTGCTAACCAACTGACCACATGCTAACCAACTATACCAACCTTTCAGCATGCATTCTCAAGTGGGAACAGTCTTGACTACAGTTCGGTAGTAATTTGCACAGTATTTGAGGGTTTAAAAAAGAGCAGTAGGCCAGACCCAGTGGCTCACACCTGAAGTCCCAGCCCTTTGAGAGGCTAAGGCAGTTGAATCACTTGAGCCCAGGAGTTTGAGACCAGCCTGGGCAGCATGGTGAAAACTTGTCTCTGCAAAACATGCAAAAATTAGCCAGCCTGTACAACAAAGCAAGATCCTATCTCAGGGGAAAAAAAAAAAAAAAAAAAGGGAGCAGCATAGCTTTCCAGTTGTACTTGGGTTATTATTCAATTCCAAATCATATGCTATTCACGAACTGTTCAAAATAAATATATGGATTATATATTATCTAAGGACATGTTCATTAGGATATCTGTCTTCAGTCCTGATTCAGGACTAAAGGTGAGACTTCATCTTCTGAAAAAAAATTGGTATTAATGTTTTGTTTCTTTTTTTGAGAAGGTGAATTTATTCTTTTTTACAGCTCATGTGAAATACATCAAGTGCTTTTGGGATCTCTGATATGAAGGATTCTGTTAAAATATCAGGTTATCATTTTATCCTGCCTTATGAGTTTTCTATTGCTATGTAATAAATTACTACAATCTTAGCCTAAAACCACACCCATGTATCATCTCACAGTTCTCTAGTAGTTTTGTAGTTCCATAGGTCAGAACACCTAGTAGGCTGGACTGGGTTCTCTGCTTAGGGTCTCATAAGGCCAAGATCAACATGTTGACCATGCTGGTATCTCATCTGGAGGCTCCTGGGAAGAATCAACTTTCAGGTTCATTCAGGTTGTTAGCAGAATTCAGATCCTTGGGTCTGTAGGTCTGAAGGCGCCGTTTCCTCGATACATGGCTGCCCTGGCTTCATCAAGTCCTTCTTATGTGTAAGATCTGACTTCTGCCACCCGCCAAAGACTTAGCTTTATAAACAGCTCATGTGTAGATTATGCTCACTGGGATAATCTCTCTTAAAGTCAGCTGTACCATGTGGCGTAATATTATTCATAGGGACTGATACATTATCACAGCCACAGGTTCTACCTACAGCCCTTATACCAGGGTAAAAGGTCATCAGGGGGTCAGTCTGAGGATTCGATCACAGCTATTAATTTTCATTGTTAAATATTGTTGTGAAGGTCACATTTTTGGTACAATAGGCAACTTTTCTTCTCTCAGGTCTCATTCTGTCCTTCTTACCCCCCTTCCTTGAACATAATTGTTTCTTCCTTTAAAACAGTCAGCCTCTTTTTCCTCTTTGTTTGGTAGCACACTTGTCCTTAATGTCACCCATGGCTCTTCAAGGAAACTGAATTTACCTTTTAGGATAGCATTCCCTGAAATCACCTTTGTGTTTATCAGTTATATAAGAAATATTGTTTGACTGCAGACATTATCACTATCATCCCTGTGCTTCAGTTCCCTAAGCCTGAGTATTTAATGTAGGATTTAGCTGCTCACAGACATGGACAAGGTATTCTTCATCTGTGTGATCTGCAGATAAGCTGCACCTTATTTTTTCATTCTTTCCTCTCTTGCATTAAGATCCGAAGATGTCTCCCTGCCTACAAGTTCAAGAAGTATATTACAACCCTGTATATCTCTCAGTCATTCTTTTTTTTTTTTTTTTTTTTTTTTTTGAGATGGAGTTTCACTCATGTTACCCAGGCTGGAGTGCAATGGCGCGATCTCTGCTCACCGCAACCTCCGCCTCCTGGGTTCAGGCAATTCTCCTGCCTCAGCCTCCTGAATAGCTGGGATTACAGGCACGCATCACCATGCCCAGCTAATTTTTTGTATTTTTAATAGAGACGGGGTTTCACCATGTTGACCAGGATGGTCTCGATCTCTTGACCTCGTGATCCACCCGCCTCGGCCTCCCAAAGTGCTGGGATTACAGGCTTGAGCCACCGCGCCTGGCCATCTCTCAGTCATTCTTTAGCCTAGTAATGCTGCTGTAATTCCACTTTATCTCACAGCAGGGTCCAGCAGAAAGCACATCAGTAATGAAAAACAGTAATTCAAAACCATGTGCAGTGGAACGTTTGAAGGCTTATAGATCCATCTGAAGCAACGGGATTTCTCAGGCTGCCTAGAGAACCTGAATAGGTTATAGTTGCAGAAACTACATAATTCTGCTCATAGTGTAGCGTGAGGGCTTATACCGGGCAGAATGGGTAATGTGTCTGCATTTCCCCAAGTCCCTCAGGCAGGTTTTTTTTTCCAGTTAGTGTTAGTCACTGAAGAAGAAAATGTTTATATAAAAGCTTTAGTGTATAATTTAGGATTTTTCACATATAAGGGGAATTGCAGGATTTTTAGTTTTGTCTTTTGAACTAATTTAGAACAAAGATGGGATAGTTGTCTTTGGTTGTAAGGAAAATTGTAAAACCCCCTGAGGTCTGATGTTGGGTAGGAAAATAAGAAAAGGAAATACTTACAAGATTCATGTATTGTCTCATTTCAGTTGAGATGGTAGTTTTGAGCAAGTGTTTGTGTCTGATTGATTCATGCGCTATTTATTAAATGTCTACTTCATACCAGGTAGACATAATATACAGGACATATGTATTATGTACCAACAATGGACTGTGCTCTTAAGGATCCCATACTCTAGGGGGTGAGAAATAGACTTCTTCCAGAAATAGTGTTGTGAGATAAGTGCTACTAGATAAGTGAGTGGGTACCCAGAGGTGAAATTCTATAGTGGTTGGAGAAGGCTTGATAAGGGAGCTGACAATTGAACAGTCTTGAAGAGACAGGAGTTTGTGCCAGGCAGGCAAGTGGGGGCAGGGAGCATTCGGGGCAGAGGAAATGTCATTTGTGAGGAGAGTGAGGAATTTGTTAAGGCTGGTGCCTAGAAAGAGGTAGAATAAGGAGGAGGCAGGAGTTAAGAGTAGAAATTACATGACACTCAAGTTGTGAAAGTTCTTGTGTGGGTTAAGGATTTTGAATGTAAAATCCTATAGATAGTAAGAAAATAGTTAAGGCTGGGCATGGTGGCTCACACCTGTAATCTTAGCACTTTGGGAGGCTGAGGTGGGAGGATCTCTTGAGTCCAAGAGTTTGAAACCAGCCTGAGCAACATGATGAAACTCCATGTCTACAAAAAATAAATAAATTAGCCAGGCATGCTGTTGTGTACCTGTGGTCCCAGCTACTTGGGAGGCTGACGTGGGAGGAGGATTTCTTGAGTGCAGAGGTCGAGGCTACAGTAGCCATGATCGTGCCACTGCACTCTAGCCTGGGTGACAGAGCGAGACGCTGTTTCCAAAAGAAAGAAAGAAAAACAATTTAAGATTTTAAGCAAGGACTGTGATGAACTTTCCACTGTAGAATAATAATTGAAGGTAGTATGGAGGATGCCTTGAGGTAAGGAGTTGGGCACCAAGACAGGCACCAACTGTCTATTAAAAGAAGGCTAGGGTCTGTGGCATATTCAAGAAGGGATATATTCCAGAGATATTTCAGAGTTCTGCTCTAAAGTGGGAATAATAATAGTATTTATGTTACAGTGTTGATATGAAGAATAAATAATAAGTTTAAGGTGTTTGGAGCAGAGCACGCAGGGCACATAGTTAGTGCTGAATAAGTGGTATTGTTGTTATAATTGTTATAATTACTGCTGTACCAAATAAGACTTGTAATAATCCTATGGGTTATAATATGGAGGGGAGGGAAGGAGTGGCATTAAGAAGCAGCAGCAGATCTCTCTTCACTATTAACCCATCACAAATGTTAGAGGGACCACGGCCTGTCTTTGGGAATAAATGTAAGTTGAGTACATGCCTTGCTAACTAGTGCTTTCAAGTAACTAAGGAGGAATAGTGAAGCTTTTAGAAGAGTAGGCTGAAGGATTCTTTGTGCTCGTCTAAGATAAGTGGGGTGGTACATCCTTTAGTGAGGGGAGATTCTCTTCACTCCTCTTTAATAGGTAAAGATCTTTAGACAATACATGAGAAGTTATTTTCTCTGGTCAGTATAAAAGCTGATGCTTGAATATTTGTCCGCATTTTAAGAACCTCTCCATTTTCTTGTAATTATGTATGAAAAAATAGAATTTATAAGCCAGGAGAATCAAAACCCTTTGTTTCTGAAGCTTATATAGCTTAACACAGTATTTCATTAATAACACATAGTGACTTGCCAATCAAAGTCAGCTTTTCGGAACATTCTTAAAGAATAATGGAAATGACTCAGCAAAGCCTAATTTAGCTTCCAGTGCTGCTTTAAAAGGGAGAGCAAAGATGGCATTTGTCTAGTGCTGCACAGTCATATAAAAAGGAAGAGGGGGAAGCTTGTGTTTATTCTATACTACTGTGTGCCAGAGACTTTACATGTGTTTCATTTAATCCTCAGAGCAAACCTGAGACAGAAGTATTGTCTGTTTTATAGATGATGAAATTAAGCTTCAGAGCAACTGAGTAACTCACCTAGGGTCATGCTGCTGATAAGTGGTAGAATTTGAGCATAGGCCTATCTGGTTGCAAAGCCAAATGCTTTTTTTACCACTTTGCCTTATTTAAATAACTTCTTTATATGAATGAACTTCATTATCACCTGCCCAGAGCAATTTTACAGGATTTGGCTATAAAAAAAAAGAAAGAAAATACAACGACTATAGGGGAAATATGCTTTTTCTTTGCATAGAATATCAGAAAGTGAATTGGTAGATCCCTCACACATAATCTATTTTGTTAGCAGGTGATTATTTAGGTTTTGTGGAAACATGTAAAAAGCTTATAGGACCTTTGACTTACAGGTAAGCCAGGCCACCTCACTTATTTTACAGAGGAGGAAGCTGAGGCCTAGAGAAGTGACATGACTTGCCTAATGACACCTGGTTTATGACAGAGTTGGAATTAGAACCCTAGACTCTCTAGTCCAGGTTAAAGTCCTTTTTTATAAGGTACAAACCTTTGTTATACCTGGAGTTCCTAAAAGATGATATATATGAATATAATTTGAGAATTATTTTTTGTTTCTGGCAATTGGCATGTACCATCAAGGCAGAGGGTTATAAATTATTTACATTCTGAATGCTACACATTTGGATCAGATTATTCACTATCATGTAGTGGAACATAAGCTTAAAGGTCTGTGTCTGGAGAGAGGCCTCCCTTCTACCTGTTGACAGCTCTGGCAGTTGTACCTGTGTTATATCCCATCTTATGGAAAGGATGGTTGAGTTTTGTTGTTGTTGTTTTGAGACAGAGTCTCACTATGTCACCCAGGCTGGAGTGCAGTGGCACGATTTTGGCTCACTGCAACCCCTGCCTCCCAGGTTCAAGCGATTCTCCTGCCTCAGCCTCCTGAGTAGCTGGGATTACAGGTGCATGCCACCACGCCTGGCTAGTTTTTGTATTTTTTAGTAGAGACGAGTTTTCACCATGTTGGTCAGGCTGGTCTCGAACTCCTGGCCTTGTGATCTGCGTGCCTTGGCTCCCAAAGTGCTGGATTACAGGCATGAGCCACAACACCTGGCCAGGATGGTTGAGTTTTAAGAAAGCAGGAAATGCTTCCTGCTGGGCTAATCCATACTGCTTTCTACTGGCCTTTTCCCCAAGCTTGACAACTTTAGGTTTTGTTATATCCTGTTAATTGTTCCTGCTGATAGTATTATTAGCAGTTCTGCCCCAGTTGAGCCCAGGGTCGTGGATTAAAAGTGATACCAGTGAAGGGCCTGTGATGATGTGGTGATTGCTAGTGGTAAATCATGAGCTGCAGTTTGAATGAGAGGGCTAGGGTCATGAACCCAGGACTGATGAGTCAGGACATGACCTTGAACTTGGTGAACTGTGACTTAGGCTTGTACATAAGTTTCTTTAGAGGAAGCTTTTGCATGCATGGATGAGGCCTTATTTAACAAGAAAGAAACTGAGGCTCAGTGATGCTGTGACTTAGCCATAAAGAAACACATTTATTTTCATAGACAAAACTGCCCCAGGAAATTCCTGTTACTTCACCCTTTGCTTCTCACTGCTTAGTGGAAGGTCAATACCATTAGAACTTTCAGGCGCCAGCCTGGGTGGCCAACCTAATGCAGTAAGACAGTTCTAGCTCCAAGTAATGGTGAACTTGGAGCAGAGCCCAGTGTAATTAAACCCCTGCAGTAAAGAATTTGATGTTGGTTGGTCTTCATTCATCTCAATGAATGGGCTTCCGACGGGAATATTATATGTTCTGAGCAAACAAAAACAATGGCTCTAGAGATTTATCCCATTGCCTTGAAGATTGTTTGGTTCCAAATTAAATTTAGATAACTCAGTAAGAGGAAAGTTTCTTTTGGTAGATGGCATTGCGAGGTAGGGCAGAATTTAGAGCATTTCTCCAGTCATTAAAAAGACTGTGGGGCAGAGTGAGAGGAGAAGGTAAAAAAAATATATATATATTTGTCCAGTAGGGTTACTTGTAAATTATATAGTTTCCAGTAGAGTAAGGGTTATTTGAACCCTTATGACTCAGAATTCCAAAAGGACTTTCGGTTGTGTGACCCTTAGGTGTCCTGTCTGTTCCTTGTCCTGCTCCACTGCCTTCTGTATGTTTTGTTTTCCAGTACTCAATGTTTTCTTGGCAAGTAAACTCAAGTTGACTAGAGTGCCAGGCTCCCAAAGGGTAAAGTAAGGAAAGCAAAGTTGTAGAACTTCCTTTTTTTAGTTGGGTATTAGGGCAAATTTATGGAAAAGAAGGCTGAAGAATAAAGAGAAATAAAAGGGAATTTTAAACAATTAGCCCATGTTTCTCCTATGTTTGCTAGTCATTTCCACATCCAGAAAGGTACTTGTGTACACTTTCAGGCCTTTAGAATTCAGTCTGGCTCTACTTGTTAAGTCTTGATTTGGCATGCCAGTCACAGGGCATTTCTTTCCCTTGTTTTTCTCTCTCTAGTCACTATGTGTGTGTGTGTGTATATATATATATAAAATACGTATGTATAATATGTTAAAAATATATATAAAACATATATATATGTCTGTATATATATGTATATATATATATACAGACACATATATAGTTATTTTAGAGGAACTAGTGTAATTACCTTTAAAAAGTCCCAACGGCCAGGTGCAATGGCTCATGCCTGTGATCCCAGCACTTTGGGAGGCCGAAGCGGTGGATCACAAGGTCAGGAGTTTAAGACCAGCCTCACCAACATGATGAAACCCTGTCTCTACTAAAAATACAAAAGTTAGCTAGACATGGTGGCACGTGCCTGTAATCCCAGCTACTTGGGAGGCCGAGGCAGGAGAATCACTTGAACCCAAGAGGTAGAGGTTGCGGTGAGCAGAGATCGGGCCACTCAGCCAGAGTGACAAGAGTGAGACTTCGTCTCAAAAAGCTCCTGCTGGGTGCTCATGTCTGTAATTTCAGCACTTTGGGAGGCCAAGGTGGGCGGATCATGAGGTCTGGAGTTCGAGACCATCCTGGCCAACATGGTGAAATCCTGTCTCTACTAAAATACAAAGAATTAGCTGGGTGTGGTGGCACATGTCTGTGGTCCCAGCTACTTGGGAGGCTGAGGCAGGGGAATCACTTGAACCCAGGAGGTGGAGTTTGCAGTGAGCCAAGATGGCGCCAATCTTGGCTTACTGCACTCCAGCCTGGAGACAAAGCAAGACACTGTCTCAAAAAAATAAAAAAAGTCCCAACATTGGGCCAGGTGCAGTGGCTCATGCCTGTAATCCCAGTGCTTTGGGAGGCTGAGGCCAGTGGATCACTTGAGACCAAGAGTTCAAGACCAGCCCTGTCAACATAGTGCAACCCTGTCTCTATAAAAGAAAAAAAAGCCCCAACATCTATAAAAGCTTAAAAAAGTTTCCTCTTTTCTTTGTATTTAGTGTTTTTCTAAAAAAAAAAAC